GACTAGTAAGCACCTACTCTCAATTTATGTTACCGAACATTTCGAGCGTTTACTTTTTTGGCGATCAAATTTTAAGAAGAAACAACTTCAATTGTTGTACAGAATATAGATACAGAACGGTGAATTTAGTTTTCTAGTTTACCACAAAGCTAAGTTCACATATTCGAATCTCTATTCGTACAAAAATTGATTTTGTGTTCTTCGATAGTTTTAGTTTCGAATACTATAATGGAATATTCTTCCGCTTGTATTCTGACAGAATAAAGCAATAAAACAAAAAGAAACGGTACACAATTAACTGGAATCACTCATATATACTAAGGGAAGCCGTCAAAATTATGATCGTAACAAACGTAGAATGTAAATAGCTTCTCTTTGATGTTTGTATAAGAGAGAAAATATATAAAATAATATATTAATATAAAATAATATATAATATAATTGATTGCGTAGTACAGCATAGTTTTATCTACTTTTTAGAAAAAAGTCCCTTTCAGTTTTAAAGATGTAGAACTGCCAATCTCACAGATTAAAAGTATTTCTTAGGCATAACGTGAATGAATATTTCGACGAAAATGTAAAATTTCGTCATTTGTTATGTTTTCCAAATAAAAGTATATGATCCAATGGCATGATTTTAGATACAACTTGTATAAATATAGTATGTAAAGAAATTATACATAACTGTTTATCAATGCCTAAGAAATACTTTTAATCTGTGATATTGGCAGTTCTACATCTTTAAAACTGAAAGGGTATTTTATTCTACATAAAATTAATGTGATTATTCACTGAATAACTAAAGTTTGAACACATATTATGTCTGATTATCATGACCCGAAGAGAAAGCAGGAAAGCCATGATAATGAAAAAGAGTTTATCTAGCTGCTGCACATAAAAGAAGAAGGTATGATTTATTTTGATATGTTCTCTGAAAATTCTGTTGAATTTTTCATGCGTATCTACTTTTTCAAACTTTCAGCTGTCATATTGATCGCTCTATATCTCAGAAACCAAGCGGTACCTTTTTTTAAAAATAGCTTGGGATAGAGTACAACTTTTGTACTTCAAATTATCTTAAAAACTGGAGAAGGGTACTTTCAAATTTGTTATAATCAAAAATATCGGAAGAGCACTGCTTCCTTCCGACATATAATAAATGAATATATAGATTAAAATAGAAAATTTGTTCTTTTCCACAAAGAGAGATAAAGTTCGACATATATATATATAGGAGCACAAGAAAACTATATGAGATAAATACATCCCAGATTAATTTACAAAAATGTCAACAAAATTGTAACTTGTTAAATTGAACTAATTATTTTGTTTGTTTTCTTCGGATGTCCTTCTCCATCTTTTTGCGAACATGTAATAATGTGTACTCTTTCTGTCGTTCTCATACCTTTCTCTTAACCCTTAAGAGCCGAATGTCCCTTCCAAGGGACATTTGAATAAATGCAGTACAAATCGTAAGAAGACTTTTGAAACAGAAGTGGATATTTTTCTGGGCTGAGATGGTCTTGGTGGTCATACTGACATCAAAATAAAACCTACAAGTGGTTGCCAGACGAATCAGTTGATTTTTTACAGCTGATAATGATTTTGAAATAATTTTTTTTTTTAGATTTTCATTTATTCAGAAATGGAACGTGTAGTCTCGTTCTTTCTCTGCAGCATCCTTAGACATAGCGTCAAGCTATCTGATGGATGTATTTCATTATTTTTTTAACCGATCTAGTGACAGATTACGCCAATGTAAAGGAAATGCTTCATGGATGGGATCTTCAGGCTTATAGAAAAACAAAAACTAGCAATTTCAATCTGAAAGTTCGCTCAAACATAGCTTTACTCATATCTAGAGCATCCTGAAAATTTCAGCAACAACGGTTGTTTCCTTCGCGACATACTGAATGTCGAAGAAAAGTCGGTTTTTAGCCATTTTTGCCAAATGTGATCGATTTTCTTGGATATCAAATATCTCGATAAAAAAACATCTGTTTTAAGTGAAAATTTCAGGACGTGTGAAGCATTATGAAATCTATCTAAGGGCAGATTATCAAACCAAAATTCTTATATGAGGGCGCCGATTTCTACAAAAGGACATGGGGTAGTCCTGGAAGAAGACCAAGATTGTTATTTTTTACTACAGTATGAGTATGCTGAGGGCCCATAATCTATATGTTTGTGGTTAGCTCCCTCCTACCACAAGCAGAACCCCCTTCGGCTTTTAAGGGTTAATCCAGTTTTTCTATATTAAATTTACTCGATATATACTTCGCACATGCATAACAAGAAAAGTTTGTAGATAAACTCGGTAACATCCTGTCTGAATATCATGATCCGAAGAGAAAACCGGAAAGTCCCTCTGAAATTTTCATCAAAACTAAATTTTTGGTATTCTGGATAACGGTGTTGGCAGCTGTATAACTCAAAAACTGAACGGTATCTAATTCGAAAAAATGACTCGACGTAGAGTACAACTCGAGTGTTAGAAAGTAGTGTAAAAGGTGGAAACAGGTACTTTTTAGTCAATTTTATGTCAATTCGCCAAAATGACGGCTTGCAGCACAAATTGAAGTGGGTACTGTTTTTCATGGTATCTTTTTCGGAAAGCAGAATTATAAGACTTACAAGGGACAACATTCTCCTTTGTGAGCAGCCATCTTTTCTCTTATTTGTATATATTTTGTAAAGAGTAAATTTCGCACATCTTTTAAAAGTAATTACGATGCGATAATTACAATGCGATAATAATTTCGTTTCATGGATGTTCTTAACATTCTCACTTACATTGTAACAATATTCCGCTGCACGCGCAGTAAATGAGAATGTAGGCGAACTTTTTTTTCAAAAAAAACCGTATGTCCACGTTTCTTCGGTGCGGTAACGAGTCAGATTCGGTTAAACATCGTTCTAAGAAATTTAACGGGTTTCCACGCGTTCACGTTTTTCAAAAACTGATAATATACGGCGTAAACGCGTTTGAAAATAAAGAATGCACATACATTCCTGAATAAAAGTTTATCTTAACTCCTTTAAACGGGTTAGAATATATTTTAACTCGTTAAAACTCGTTGAACGATGACTCACCAAAGGCGTTAGAACGGTAATTTTCCAATCACCGTTTTCCATGATCAACTCATACATAAATACCATGTCTTTCCCTACCAGACATAATACATTCCATTAAAAAATATTAAAATATTAAATATTAAAAAACCTTACTATCTGTAAAACTACGTTGAGTCCCTTAAGAGAAGCTAGATTTATATATCTGAAGTCCAAAATCCATCATAAAATGTGACAGTTTTCTGAAAAATCAGATTTCCCAGAAAGTCCTTTTTTTACTTTTATATAACAAATCATTCATACCATTAAATTCTCCATATTCTAAAACCTTTATACTAAACTTAGTATTCATTTAAGCAACCAATTATGAAGGTACAAGAAAACAATGGTGACGGGACATTTAGTGGTATTTTTTAAATTTCTCGCTTATAAAGTAATTTTAATCGTTTCTATTTTTACTCAATTATCTACACGCCAAATCGCACTTATAGTGAAAACAGAACGGCTTTCTCATCATTAGTAAAGGTAGGACATAGAATAGGTGGGCACGAGAAAAACTTCGGCCAAACATCAGTCTCAGATAGTAATTTGTCTACTACTTCCGAAGGAAGAGAGTTTGAAACCTAAGGTTCAATTCAATTTCATGATTATCATACGAAAGGTGGGCTGCATCCTATGGCTAAGCATTCAGATAAATTAAGAGCTTTTAGCTTTTTTCGTGCTAATTTGTATAAACTGGTATTGTCGCGATTCATCGACTACATTTTGAGGTAGGTGAAACATGTTAGTAAGGCGTCGTCGCTTTAAAATTTCGACGCAACAGCAAAATCGATTAACGTGTGACAAGTTTGGGCGGAATCGTATGAACAAGCCAATTTTCGTTGGGATACGTATCGAGGATGAAAAAGTCTGTTTATGGGTATGTATATCGATAGACAATTAGTTCTTATTTTTGACCTGATGAACGCAGCTGAGGGCAGTTAGCGTCTGAATTCATTTGATTATTATTAGAAGAGAACATTTTTTCTTTGTTTTTTCTATCTAAATGTCGACAAATAAGAAGAAAAGTTACCGTATTTTAGGTGTTGTCTGTATCAACCACCAACTTACCCTTTGGGTACGGTTTGCACCCCAGCGTAAGTCTATTCGGAGAATATAGAAAGTATGTCATCTAGCATCTTGGGTTGGTTCGGAGAGAATTCTGTATCATGTATCATAGTTCATAAGAATTTCCTGAGAATTTGAAGAATCTGTCAACCTTCGTGAATTGAAATCATACTATGTTTTTCTTTTTGGTTTTAATTTAAAGGTTCTGATAGTTACAAGTTATATCATGATAATTCAAATCCATCTATAGAAGAATTGCGTAAGACAATTGAACAATTAGAGATAACTATAAAACAAATGAAAGATCGTCATCAATGTCAAATATTTATGTTTAAATAATGAAAGAACAAGTATGCTTGATTATGGGCACGGTTATTGTTCAGATCAAGTAAGAAAATGTCATATGTGTTGATGTAACAAAAAGATATAGACTTTATCTTTAAATTAAATATTAAAAAGCAAGTACATTGAATGTACTACATTCATCGGCACACTGAATCACTTTTGGAAAAGTTCACTATGGCAAATCAAAACTGTTTAAGAATAAATCTTACCGTTTTTGCTAAGTTATGGACAGAGTATCCGAAGCGAACGTTCAAAGTTAAGTCACTTGTGTTGATTATTCGTTTTAAGACGGATGCCTATATATATCAAGTAAGAAAGTACTCCAACTTAGCACAGTGAAAGAGCAGTCATCGAGGTAAGTCGATTTCTTCAGTTCGCTTTACTCGCCTTGGAGCCAGTCGCAAGGTTTTCGCAGATCTACTAGTTGCAAAATTTCATTTATAATATTTACAAATAGCAATTTTGGAAAACAAAGATTAGACAATGTCAGCGAGTAAGACATCGACAATTTGAGCGAATTTCTTTCGTCTCGCTTCATCCAGTGCACAATTGCCCCAACGATCTCTGTGCGTTTTGCCATCATAGCCATAACGCAGCAGCACTTTGACCACATCCAAATGGCCATTGGCCGCAGCCAAATGCATAGGTGATCGTCCATCATAATCAGCATACAATTCCGATGACGAAAACACACCAGTCGCCAAGAGACCATCGATAAGTTCTGCTTCATTTTTCAAAGCCAATGTGCCAAAATGAAGGACTTTCTTCCATTTGCGCATTGATCTCACAGCAGGTTTTGTCACTGAAAGCCGTCTTCGACTGTCAGTTTCCGACGGGGTCACCGTTCGAACTTTCTTCACACATTCAATAAGGTAATTGGCCACTTCATAATGTCCGTAACGATACGCTTCTTCGACGGGCGAAAAACCCCAACGATCTTCCCGACTCATCCAACTTAAATCTTGATTTTTTGAATGGGAATGGTCACGCAAAAACTGAATACTCTGAAGTTGGCCTTCGGCAGCGGCGACATGGGCGGCCGAACGAAAATCATAATCAACACTGTCTGCACAAAACTCGGGAAACTGTTCGAGAATGTTAGCCATTTGTCTTACGTCCCCTTCGGCTGCAGCCATGGAATTGTTCGAAAATGAAATCATCCCTATTTTAGAGGAAGGAAAGGTGGAAAAAATGTTTTGAATTGCGAAGTACTAGCTATTGTTACTTTTTATTCTTTTGATATTGGAGAGTGACAAAGAAGTAAAAAATTCACTTAAACTCCAAGTTTCAGTAGCACCGCTCTTCATTAACCCGTTTGCCGAAGAGTTCACGGTTTCGGTTCACAAATCGTAAACGTCAGTTTCCTTATGTGTTTAAAAATACAGTTTTACCATTGTCTTATTGTCTACCTTTCAGTTACTATAAATCTTTTTAAAAAGATTATCTTCTATTTCGAATTATCACGATCGAAAAGTACATGATGTAACACTATACTTTTGGTGATACACGAAGGATTTTTGCATGCCGTTGTGAGTAGGTCGAAAAAAATTATGACGTCATTTCTAAATAATCATGATACAGAATAAGGCCGGCAGCAGACTTTCTTCGACACCCGATGAGATATTACCCGTTAGTTCGTCGTCTTCTTCTTCTTTTTCGTCTTGATCGTAATTATCGTTGTCGTACAGTATATTTTCCATTAGTATATTTATTTTTCTCGGTTTTTGTTTCGATGGATGGTCTCGCCAGTGCTGAAGATAATCGGCAATACGATAATCTGGTAGACGCAGAGCATCTTGAATCGGAGTTTGACTATAATAGTCTACAACTGATAAGGACGCATTACTTTCCTCTACTAAATGTTTCACCAAGGAAAAATGATTGCCACAAACGGCTAAATGCAGGGCTGTTCGTCCATCATAGTCGGCAAAGTTCGGATTCACTCCGCACGCAATTAAATATTGTACTGCTTCCAAATTGCCTTCAAACGAAAAGGCACACAAATAGAAAGCCAATTCTTTCGTCTTGCAGACAGGCATTCTCGCACCACACGCATAAAAAAATGGAATCAAATGAAAATTTCCGTGGCAGAAGGCATCATACAACGGGGTTCCACCGAATTCGTCAACCAGGTTGACGTTAGCTCGAAAGTTTCTGATCAGTTTGAGACATAATTCTGTCTTCCCACCACAGGCGGCCAAATGCAAGGGGCTGCGTAAATCATAATCCGTGGAATTAACGTCTGCTCCTTCGTGTAGTAATGCCTTCAGACTTCGCCTATCATTCTGATGGGCATACGAGCACAAGAGAATGGGTACTAATTCAACCTCGATCGTTGCAAGTTCTTCAATCGAAATATCTTCATCGTGTCCGAATTTTTGGAGAATCGTCGATAAATTATTCATAAATTCAAAATGCATTTTAATTAGGCTTGTCAATCGAAAACGTCGCGAATGATCTTCTGGAATACTAACGGCTATTAATTTGACAGCTATCATATTCTTGCTTGACCCAGCCATCAGACAAAACAGCCAACACGTTAGAGTAGACGGCAGCATCAGAGGAGGCATCCCAATAGGAGAGAAGAAAGCAGAAACGGCAGCTTGAACGAGGACAGTAATCACAGATCCGAAGAGTGTGAAAAGCCATATTTGATAGCCGCTGAGAACGAAAAACATCCCTCCAAGTGCTTGACACGTCAACACCGAATTGTAGCCCCATAAGCCCATATGAATGGCTTCTGCTGGAAGTCCAAATAAATACGCTGCTGATAATTGACCAGTCACCGCACCGAATAAAGCAAAGAATGATAGTATTGACGAGCAAATGAATACACCCACAAGAATAATGACACCCGTCAAGGGACTGTCGAGAAAATAGACTTCGCTCACACTCGCAGGAAATCCAGCAAAAATATCGATAACCGAATACCAAACCGCAGACACATTTGATAGCCTGGGCTTTTCAACGACCGCCGTCAATAATTCAGGTGCCACAAGTGTTCCATTCAGAAAAAAGTATCGAAATTTCAATGCACCTAATAGCCACAAGAATGAACACACTTGAGAGCTAAATGTAAACGGTGAGAGACCCAGTCGAACCACAAGTAGTTTCCCAATGGCAACAAGAATGACTGTCGAACAAGCACTCATCAACACGACGGGTCCAATGATTTGCGGAGAATCGGATCCAAACGAAAAATGAGCAATAGCCATGGCCGTCAGACAACCATTGTATCCATAGAGACCAGCTCGAATCGAACCGTAATCGAGTCTCATTATGTGCGCCGTCAATGTCGATACCACTGTTCCCAATAGACCATATAAAGCAAGTTGCCATTGACCGATAAACAGACCAACTGTGATCACCTGTATTTAACGAACGAAAGATATAAAGCTGAAAAATAGACCAAGGGAAAAAACTGATCTTGTGATTTCAATGACTTTAACGATTTTGAAATAGTTAAAAATCAGTTTTTCCCGCTTGAGAGAAACTCTTTGCCTGTATTGTAAACAAGCTTCTGAGTCCAAAATTTTCTGTAAGTCCATTTTTGAAGTCAAATCGTTTTTTTTGCTTTAGGAGACTCCTCTCAGAATGAAACCTCTTCGTATCAAAAAATCAATTTGGAGATGATCACATCGAAAGATAGCCTGGAGTGTCAGAATCTGTATCCCTTTCGGGCCTAAAACTAGTTTTTCATAGTTTTCGAGCAAGTTTTCTCGAGACCCTGGAAACTAGGGTCTTCAAATAATAATTTTTTCGTTAAATAACAAAACAGACCAACGAATGCACAGCGTTTTCTCTCAAAACACGATTTTGTTTCTTTGACATGGCAAATACTTGCTGGAAGCGTCATCAAAATCGGATATAAGACAAAAAAGTATTTTTCTGAGGAGGAGGCCCCTAAAGACAGCGCTATATTTTTGAAAAAGTAACATGAACCCTGGAAATAGTTACGGAACTGCAAAGATCCTCTGGATTGGGATGTCACATTTACAATAGGCAGGGACTAGCAGTTAGTACCTAAGGCTGAATCAAATGGTTAATATTGATTGCTGACAAAGTCTTAACTTCATTTTTTCAACTTTTAGAATCTATATACCGAAAGTAGAGATGTACAGAGCTCCCTTACCCTATCATACCCTGCATCGTAAGGCAAGGTCTGGACTCTAATGTCACCTGAAGTCACATGGGTGGGTAGGGGAGGATACAACAACTTTTTACAGAGTAGAGCCAGGGCTCCAGAAACAGCTACTCTGCACACCTCTAACCGAAAGAAAAAATTAAAACTTTGTAGAGACCGATGATCTTTATTGTTCGTTTTTGAGAATTGCCAGTTAGATATGTCTAGGTATGCACCAGTTAAAAACTGGTGGTGGGGCATCCGGGAGAATTGCTACAGATCAATTACCAAGATTCGCTCATAGCTGCGGAACGTCTCATTTTGTAGAAAAATGTTTGCTCTGCACAATACATTTGTTGAGAAGATTCCAAAATCATTTCTAAGAAAACTTAGAGCA